ACACGAGTGATCTTGGCATTGTCATTGTACATTTGCGTTATCAGCTTCAGATTTACCATATTTGACTCTATGTCCTGGTAACCAGATAAAGTATACGTTGTTGTGTTTGCATACCTTGTTTAGATATAATACATACTTTCCGTCGTCCTATTAGTATCATTTAAGAATTTAATATTAATTTTTATTCGTAAGAATTATTTCAACTCTCATATCGTTTTACTACAGAGTGATTAAATAGTCATCATATAGATAACTTATAGTCCAAAATTAGATATGTATTCTTCGCAATGCGTATGCTTTCTGGCGTAAATAAATTCCTAACTTAATCCACTAGCTTAGTTCCCTAGCTATTAAATATAATGCTCTTATCTCTCTGCCTTCATTACTGGAATGTACTTTCCACATTGTCATAGAAATGTTCTCCATTCATTTAGATGATTTTAGTGGTTTTAGTTAGACTTATTTGAATTCTAATTTGTGAGAATTGAAGTTTTTGTTTTTAAAATACTACAACCATTGCTAATTTTAAAAATGTTGAGAAATCAAACAAAATTATGAATTCAAATTAATTTGTATAACTTTTTATGAGATACATATTAGCACGCTCCTTTCTCTCATAAAAATAAAGGAGAACCAGAATAAAAAGGATTACTGGTATAATATACCAGGGTTAAAACAATCCAAATCACTCATTGGTACCTATAACAATAAGAGACACCAGGATTGTATGAACCTATCAAAAGAAAAACTTAGAATCATCACAGGAATCCTAACAGGGCACTATAGACTAAAACACCACCTTACAAAACTGGGTACACTTACAGATGCAAACTGTAGATTCTGTGAAGAGAATGAGGAATCGGCCACACATGTACTGTTAGAATACCCTGCGCTAATGCACATACGAAATAAGCTCCTAGGAATGTATATTCTTACGGAAGAGACAATAAAACTCTGTCAAGTAGGTTATATACTACTTTTTATTAACGCAACAGAGCTTAAAGACCTACTCTAAGCACAGAAGGGGGCACAATAGATCCGACGGTCGCAGTGCTACATCCCATAACAATAATAATATGAAATACATTTATATTTATGAATTATTTTGCAACTTCTCTCAAAAATCGTTAAATATTTAAATTTTAATACTTTTAAGCATTTTTAACTTACTTTGAAATTACAGATTATGTTATAAGTTTTTCCAAAATAATTGACAATCTTATTTACGCCATTTCCTTAGTCCATTTATTTGACAGTTTCAAAAAAATAGCGCACAAAGGAAAAATTGAAGTGACGTGTAGAACGAACAAAAAGTGAAATATTGTGTACGGAATATTAAAAATCCTGAAATACGCGTCTGGGTTTCTGTTGACGTTTCTGCGCGATTTAAGCACTTAAGCGGTAAATTAAATTGAAAAATAAAATTCAAGTTTATGAGAAAAGAAGTGATTTTTCTTGTTTAACAAATAATCGCTTATTTAACTTTTTAATATTTAAGTCGCAAGTCCCTAGAGACGTGAGTAGACAATGAGCAAACAATTTTATACACAGAATTTGAATTCCATTGATAAGAGTTTAACACTTACCTCAAGTTATATATAGAAAGAATAAGGTTGTTGAACTGAATTCTGAAAGTTGTGGATAATAATCAACGAATTAATAAAAGCAATTCCACAAGAGATGTGTATTAATTATATATATATTCTGGGACTTCCCAACGTATATAGTGGCCTTAATGAAGTGAAGGATTAGCCGAAGTAGACAACGAAACTACTTGGGTTCTTTTTTGTCCTTCGATTCTCGAATGTCGTTATTGAGTTAAAGCTGGAGTGGCTTCCAATCGCATAACTACATTTTTTGTTAATGCAAGCAGTTCGTTTAGCTTGAGGTTGCCTGCCAAGTCATCATCAAGCTAATAGTGTCACAAGATAGTCTTCCTCCTCCTTCTTCCGGAGGTGATACTTGAAGTTTCCATGTCCAGTAATTAGTGAGGTCAGCCAACTTAGGGTGCTCCGCGTGTATTAAAGTGTCTCTATATTTCAGAAGTTTTGAAAAACTTAATAAATAATTAATTAGCGAAATATATTTAGTTATGATGTTAAAAATGTTCTTCTAGGCAAAAGAGCTATTCTCTCCTCAATTCCCACACCTGCTATTAAAACACCCTCCTATAAAGACTTACAATAAAATTACAAACGACAACAAAAATGGAGAAAATTTTATAATTTTATGACAACCTATATATGATTTTTCATATATATGATTGAAATATAATAAACATAGTTTAATATACGGTGGCTCACAGCTTATTTCGTGCAAGCAATATTTTTGTAGATTTAGTCGTGAAAATCCAATATTTTGTTCAAAATAAAAAATTTTAAATATGCAACATAAAAGAATCATTAGTTTTTATTATAAAATAAAAAAAAATTTAACAAAAATATCAAAAAAACAAAAACAAACATACACCAAATTCGGACCTCATAGCTTATTTCGTGCAACACATTTTTTTTTAGTTATTTTTTTTTTAGTAGTAATACATCGGTCGAAATTTTGTGCAAAATAAGCATTTTATCTAAATGATTTCTTTTCAATCTCAATTTCAGATTGAATAGATATCCAACAATCACCCGGTTCAAAATTAGGTGAGTACAGTCAATGATTCAGTACGTACGCTACCTTCGGAACCTCACTCAGGTATGCTACACATAGAAATCTCTCTTTCCATGTCAATTTGACATACCCTTAGGAAAGTTCAAAATATTGTAAAGAATATTTTATAACTGACACTGTAAACAATATCAAATATATATATACAACAAATTTAATATCTCAGCAATAACAACAATACTATTGACATTTTCCGGATTATTTATAAAAATTTTATTTGCGTAAAAGCAACTTTTTGTAAATTTTGTTGCCTGGTTCCACTGTCCCAGATAAGTGGCTCATTTCAGATGAAAGGTCTGATCGCCGAATAAACCCAACGCAATATTTTTTGTGTGCAACCCAAACTTTTACCTACTACGGATTTGCAAATCATAAGAGCCTTATGATTTCTTCGTGATCTCTCGTGTGGTGTTAATCCTTATTTGGCCCGTACTAGTGCTTATTTCCACTTTCCCAGCAGTCACAGGCGCCTTCTATATCTAGAAAGGCGTATATAGCGATTTCCATACGTTCTATGCTCTCCAATAACAAGTTTGTAAATTTAATCAGAGCGATTTCTGTCGATCATCCCGCTCTGTAGGCATGTTGGCAGGGATGTAATGGGAGAGTTACAAAGACGTCCTGATTAAGTTATTTACAAATTTTTCTAATGTTTTTAGCATGAAGCATGTGAGCATGTGAAGAATTTTCGATGAAGGAAATGCTTCTTAACTGTTTTTTACCTGTTTGGGAACTACCTTTACCTTCCTCCAGGCGCGCAATAGTAGCCCTAGTTATCTTGGTCAGCGGGATTAACAAGTATTTCAATCCCTATTGAATTAGCACCGGAACTGTACCATCTGTAGCAGGTGATATAATTTTCTTATATATGTAATTTTTTGCAACAAATACCGAACACAAAAAATCGTACTAACAGCAACAAATTCTATTATTCATACAAAAATTTGTGATTATAGGTATGTGTGACGCACGTTCATTTGCATTTTGTTCTTTCTTCTTAACTTTCGCACATTTACTTTTGAAGACTTTTAAGTCTTCGAATAGTGACACTACGAATAATCATCGCGAATCCAGATATTCGGAGACATCAAATTTACAAAAATCTGATTTTTTTTAAACTTCAGAGACCTCGTTAACTATCCGATTAATCGGATTCTCCGAAAACTATGTAGAAACCAAATACGAAAAGCTCTATCATATAGTAATTTGTGATATAGTAATAATATAGTAATAAAATTTGCAATGACCACTTCATTTATTTGAATAAATTTCTTAGTATATTTAACTTATTTTTAACAAATAAATAACAACAAGTATTTAAAATGTTGTGAATAATTTCAGTTGATATAAAGAAATAAAGATAACACATAAGGTTTCTGATAGATATCTTTGAGTTTTAGACAACAAATTAACATAAGTAAAGGCTTCTTCCAAGTAGCCACCAGAGCTTTCTGTAAAAATTAAGTTATTTAAATTGTTAAATTAAATTAATTTTTTATTTTATATTGAAATTATATAATATAATTGAATATATAATACAATATATATGTATACATATAATTGAAATTATATTATAATATAAAAACAATTAGATTTATTGAAGAAAAAATAAAACCATTAAAACCATTAATGTATTCATAATTAAAACATTGTAGTTGTAGGTCACTACTTTTCGAAATGTTTCTACCAAATCTACATACATATATACAAAATTAGGTTGACATACTTATTAATCTTGTTCTAATAATTCATTAATTTTTAAATGTCACTAGCATAGAAGTGATTAGTGATGTTCTGCACTAAAAAATTATAAACACATTTGCATAAAAATAAATAAAAATATCAGCATAGAATTTCCGAACTTGAGCTACGATAATATATACTGAAAGAGTAACTATTTATAGAACTGGAATTTGTTATTAAATTGTGAAAGTCATTCTTTTTTATCAAGGAAAATAAAGTACCATTTATTTTAAATGTTGGAATTTAGTTTGCGAAATTGAAGAAAATATAAGTTCTGCTGATTAAAAAGTACAGCTGTTAGAGTTTCATTCATGTATAATATAAAGTCCATTTGAGAATAATTATTAATACTATCAGCAGATGCTACTGCATATAAATGATAACAATACACGAACAAAAAAGTCCAATAAAATTGATATCAAGTTCTTGCACTTATAGCCTCTTAAACCTAATAAACCACAAACAGAGTAGGGTAATTAAGTAAATATAGCTAATCGCCGAAGTGATTAGCGCATATTTGTGGCTCACAATGTAGAAGCAATTTTGTTTATTATTTGTGCAAAACAAAACAGTGGTCTTTGGAAGACTTTAAGTGCATAATCGGTTCGGAAAAATGTTCTTAATAACCTTCATTGTTTTGCTTTTTGTAACTTTGCTTATAAGTTATGTTTCAAACAGGAAGAGAAGACAATTAGTAAAAAACATATCCGGTCCGTTCAATGTACCGGGAATAGGTTCAATTTCTATGTTTATTAAAATAAACCCAAAAAGTAAGAATATTCAAGTACAAATAAGAATCGGACACTAGAGTTTTAAAACAATTGCAGATTTCTTCAAGGTTTCTAAGGAATTTCATGATAAATTTGGTAAAATTATATGTGCGTGGGCGTTTAATAGGCTGGTTATTGTGAGTTCAGATTTAGAATTGAATGAGCAAATTTTTGCCAGTAATCAACATATAAGCAAACAGCGTAACTATAGCATATTACATCAATGGTTAGGAACAGGTCTTCTTATGAGCGATGGCAAAAAATGGTTTTCAAGACGTAAAATTATAACTCCTGCATTTCATTTCAAGATTCTAGAAGAATTTGTTGATGTTTTCGATCAACAGAGCAATATACTTTTGGAGCGTTTAACTGAGAAGGCAGATGGTAAAACAGAGTTTGATGTATATCCGTTCATATGCTTGGCTGCACTGGATATTATTGCAGGTAATTGAAACTTAGAGTTCATAACTTAAAACATGTACGTATATAAATATATCTACATATTATGTTCCAGAAACTGCAATGGGTACTAAAGTAAACGCACAAACGAATTCTGGATCAGAATATGCATCTGCAGTCAACGAGTTAGTTGTTTTATTATTTAATTATTATTATTAAAGATCTGATATATACAAACACTTCTAATTTTAGAGTAACGAAACTTATGTCTTGGCGTTTTATGAAAATCACATTCCAAAATGAATTTCTATTTACTTTGTTATGTCCATTACTCAAATTACGTCAGATGAAATTGATTAAAATCATGCATGCCTTCACTATTGGTGTTATTGAGGAACGCAGACGTAATTTAGAAGGTAGTCTAACAAAACAAACAAAGACTAATATTGAAAGCACAGAAGAGGAACCACTTGGTAAAAAAAAACGTAACGCTCTATTAGATGTTCTGCTTCAGTCTACAATTGACGGAAAACCTCTAACCAATGAGAATATACGTGAAGAAGTAGATACATTTATGTTCGAAGGACACGACACAACTACATCCGCTATTGGATTTGCTTTACACTTAATAGCTCGTCATCCGCATGTACAGCAAAAAATGTTAGATGAAGTTCTGCAGGTCCTTGGTAATAAATATGACGAACCAATAACACAGCGACATTTGAATGATTTAAAATACACTGAATATGTTATTAAGGAATCACTACGTATGTATCCTTCTGTACCAATGATTGGCAGAGAAATCAAGGAGGACTTTAAATATAGTAAGTTTTTAAACATATAACAATATTTTGAATATAAATACAGAACTACGAAAATATTTATATAAAACATAATATTAAAAAGAAGAATATACTTATTATGACTAATTAAATAAAACTATGCAAAAAAAAAACTATGAAAAAATAAATGTGGCTTCAAGACTTATGTAAAAAATATATTTGTGTTGATAAATAATGTCATAAAACATAAAAATAATAATAACCGTGTAATAAAATTGATGTATAATATAAAGGTCGTGTTAAGAAAATAAATTTAAAACTAATATTCGCATTTTGTTCTTTATAGTTTCACAACATTATAATGAAATAAAAATTCGCATATATAAAAAATATTATTATAAATTATATTACTAGTCACATTTAACAATATGTAATCATACAGTAAAAAGTTAATAATAGAAGTGTTATTAATAATTATTATTAAAAGTATATCACATAAAATAAATTCCTATATAAAATAATTTTCAGCGCACTCCAAACGTGGCGATGGTGTTATTCCTGCCGGTACAGAATTATTCATCGCTATCTATGGCATTCTGCATGACCCAGAAAACTTTGAAAATCCAAGTGAATTTATACCGGAACGACATGAAAATAGTTCAGTTAATTCTGCCTTTTCAATGGTTCCTTTCAGCGCTGGACCAAGAAATTGTATTGGACAAAAATTTGCAATGCTTGAAATGAAAATGATTCTAGCAAAAATCGTACGTTCATTCGAGTTGTTACCTTTAGGCCAAGTTGTGGAGCCAGAACTTAATATTGTTATGCGTTCATCAACTGGATTTCAAATTGGACTAAAGAAGAGAACTTAAAACAAGGAGTAAAAGTAATTACTTAATATCGAGAATTTAATTTAATGGTGATTTACACATATATCATGAGGAAATAGAGTAATCAATGTAATACAGATGTATAAAATATATTTTTTAATTATCATTAATTAGTTTCACATATAAATAAAGCATAACATTCATATCCCATTTAAATCAGTTTGTATATAGTAATGTGTATATAGAGTTTATTTTAAGTTTAATATGAAACAGAATCTATGTATATTATTTACAATTGATATTAACATACACAGTATCCTTCAATAATAAGCTTACATAGAATGATATATATTTAAATTTTAATTATTTTAATTGTATTTTTTTAAAAACATATAGTCTATAATACTTTAATTACTGTATATTAGAATCAAAACAGTATTGTGAGGGTAATTGCATGTTATATAAAATTTATAATAAAAAGCAGTCAATTAATATAAATGATAGTTTTATTTTGGTGATAAGATTAACAAATTTAGTCAACTAAATTATAGTCAATTCATAAAGAAATATGTAAACAAAACTCTTCGTAGCAAAGTTACGCATTTATGATTTCCAATGTTGATAGTAGTAAGTTTTAAATTTTTTTTTTTGATTAAAATGATAAGATTTCTTATTGAAAGTCCCCACCGAGTTTTTATCAAATAAAATACTTGTATTCTTAAAAGCGGTGACATACGAATAAGAGAGATATAAGCATAATATGTTATAAATTCTAAATGAAATCGAGTACAAGCATTTATAAATGATTTTATGTTGAGATAATCTTCAATTCATCATTAGTGTCAGATCACTAATTTCGGTACGAAACGAATGTTAACTATTAATTTGCCATCATTATTAAAGTTTAAACAAAAATATGTTTCAACCAAAAATATATATAAAAATGTATTAATCTATATAGCCATATAGATTAAATGAACTAAGTGCAATGGAACTTAGAACATTAAATATTATTTTGTTTATATCTCTTTCACTAACATTATTAAAGCCGTATATATATAACATAGCGGAAACCTCGTATTCCAATTTTTTAAAAAAGTGTACAATTCCAAAACTATTTTTGAAAAAGGCAATGTTGAAAGTTCATTAACGGAACTAAGCGATATTTAACCTTTTCAATAAAAATCAACTTTTTATACTAATTTTTAATTCTTAATTTAGTTAATTAGTACGTATTACAGTACGAACTCGATTCATACGCAAACTGAAAACTATGTTAGGTGCAAGTTCGAGGTTACTGCAAGTACCCAATTTTTATGTACTATTAAAGATTAGTATTCACCTACATCTATTCAGCATCTAAACTAAATGTGTTTAATATTGAAATGTTAAATATAAATGTGCATTGAGCACTTCACTTCAATATTTACAACTGATCAAGGAGATTAGCTGGATCAGTAAGTACAGCATTGCTTTAAAGCCTCTAGAACCTAATAAAATCGGCTAATTAAGCATGGCATTAGTCATCTAAAGTAATTTTCTTTATACTGGGAAGCACGCAGTCAATTTCTCTACCACCAGGCTAAAAATAAAAAAAAAATTTCTCAATTTCAAAATAAAATGTTTACTATTATGGTCCTACTTCGAGAACTACGATTGGCTATAAACTCAACTCAAACTGAGAAATTATGTATTTTTATGTCAGTTTTTGAAACAAAGAATATAATGAAAATTCTAAGATTAACTCGACCCATTCATTAGCTAAAAAAATATACTGTCTCAATCATGTTGGTGTTCCGCAGTAATTTATCTATAGTTTTTTGTCATCGTACATTGTAAATCAGAACGCTTTTTTTGTAATTCAGTCTGCGATAATGACATCATTCATGGTGTTAGTTAGTTGAGGTGGAGAGAAGAATGAATCCTCCTCAATTAGTTAAAATTAGATAAGATTAGCATTAGATAATTTTAGTTTAAAGGAACCCATATTACCAATTGATCACAAACACGATTCTTTATCTTCTCTTCTCTAATCACTACAACGATTATAAGAAAGGAAAGCAAGGATATACCATAATATGATTAATTATAAGATACCTGTTAAATTTAGCTATCCATTTTTTGATAAAATGAATGCAGATGCCATGATTTTATTAATAAAATACGAGTATCCAAACTTTTTATTTTCTCACCTTTTGCAATTTTATATCTGGCTTTCGCCGAAACAGAGGAGTTGTATATTAAGATTATTATAAGGTTTCTTAATAGCCTCAATATACCAATATAATAGATTAAAGTTCATTTTGAAGTCATTCTGGAAATACTGTATTTTTATAATATTTTTTTCTTATAATAATTTTATAATAATATTTTAAAATTTTCTTGATTCTAATTAAAATCTCTTATAATATTTAATAAATTTAATTTTTATATATGTTGAGGCTAGTTGAGTTGAGTCAGTGCACCTGAGCACTTTTACTCTCTATTAACTGAGAGGTTTCTACAAAACCCCTCTTTGCGCCTTGACTGGATTATTGTTTATCACTTCATTAGACTAGGCAATAATTGACCTCAGATCTGCATATCTATAAAATATATGATGAATACTTTAGAGTAAGAAATTTTAAAAAAATATTTTTTACTGCATATATTTGAGAAAAAAGAATTTTAACATTTTCTCCAATAGTATAGCACCAAATAGTATTGTCAATATTGGCCAGAACTAGGTTCTAGTTTCTAGGGGCCCTCTTCTTCAATTCACTTGACGATATCTCCAGCATTATCTTAGCCAGATTCTTGCCTTTGTTAATGCCTCTGGCTGGTTCTAGTTTGACCTTCTACCTACTACCCACTATTACGAGGTTTTTGTGGATTCGAAACGGCTTTTTGGGTAATTGAGGAGGACTCGTCCTCCCTCCACCTCAACTAACTAACTAATTTACTTTTATTGATGAATCATTGTTGGCTGAAAAACTAAGTTTTTAATGATATTATTACAATATGTGAATATTATTGACAGAATTACTTCAAATAAAAATTAATTGTTTAATTTACTGCAATATATTTTTTGAAATCTTTAAAAAAATCCCTTAAAACACCCTGAGAGCAATTTGAAAACCCTAATGCTTGGGGAAACCCCTTAATTTAGCTACCCTGAAACCTAATAAAATCCAAAATATCGAATAGTTTTCATAGTTTAAGTTATGAAAAAGTTACGCATGACCTGGTATATTGTACTGTACGAATAATTTCTTCTGAAAATCATTCACAAGTAATAACCCCTGAGTAATCAGAGGTTCTATGTTCTACTAATTAATAATTTTTTGAGTTCAATTCAAATTTGATTATACGTTCAGTGTAGAATTTTTAGTAGTATTTCCCACAAAAGTTATTGTATATAAGTAATTTAGTTGAACTCTTCAATGCTATCCTTTCAGTACTGTAGTCCATTAAGGAATCCAATCATATTAACGGAATTATTGTTATACGCAGCATTATAAATTTTTACAATAATTTCCTCCATAAGAACGGCAATGCCTAAATGTAGTTTTTTGTGCTCTCTTAAGATAGGACATCTACTTTACAACTACAATTAACTTTAGTATATTCTTCTCTTCAACGGCATAATAAAAACTTTCATAGTTTCATGATATTTCTTCTACTGTCACCTGCCTTTTTAACAACTTCTTATTCAACACCTAAATATGGAAATACACGCCTTTTAAGAACACCAACATATTTAAACTACTCTGGATATCGCTAAATAGCAGTATCGATAGTTTAAATTGAATGATAAAAATTTTCATCAAAACAATCCATATTAATCATTTATGTGCTAATAAAAAACTATTTCCTTAATACCATAACATTAATAAGAAAATCTATCCACCAAACTTATCTGTTACGATTACGATTGTTACGATTGATTATTTGATTTTCATTAAAACAAAGAATATGTAAAGTAAAGTTATTACAAGAACTTTAAACAGCCTTAATCTCAGTGTAAATATATATAACATTTCATATCCAACAATATATTAAGTTATAGATAACTCTATCACAATACAATTTTCAAAATTGTATCCTAAATTTTATAATCAAATTGTTTTGACATCGTTATTGTTGGATGTACATAAGCCATAAAAAAACAAAAGTAAGCGACTACACTATCCCGGATCCTACATCCATCAGGATTGATAATGACGCAGATGTACAATTGTGATCATATACATATCTGGGCAGTAACATTACAGATAAAAGTGGTGCTGAGAAAAACGTTTTAGCTCGGCTAAGTAAAGCCAAGTCACCATTCGGACAGTTAATCAATATGTGGAAGTCTAACCAAATAAATCTCTGTACTGAACTTCGAATATTTAACTCGAACGTCAAGTCAACGTTGTTCTGCGGATGAGAAACGTAAAAAAATGTGGTATTCATAAACAAATGCTTAAGAAGAATTTTAAAAATATAGTAGCCGAAGCATACCTATATCCAATACCAATCTATAGGAAATCACGAAACAAATATAAACTGCCACTGAAATCAAAAGAAGAAAACGGAATGCGATTGGCCACATGCTTAGGAAACACAGTATCCTGTATAAAAACAATTCCCTACGTTCGAATTTACAAGGTCGCCGCCGGTGTGTTCCAACTAAGACATGGCAAAGAACAGTGAACCAGAAACTTAAAGAAGCAGGCAACTGAATAAGATTTAAAGAAATGGTTGAAGCCTTATGCTCCACTAGGAGAAAAGGACAGTAGTAAGTAAGTAAATTGTTGGATGGAAATTTTTGCAATCAATTAGTAATATCATGCAATTTGAGGTAAATTTTATTAGAAACTCCCAACTGCATATTAATGTAATATATTTTAGAAAAAATTTCTTAATTGAAAAAATAAAAATTTTAATGACCTTGCATGCATTTTTTTTAAATCTCTAAAAAGAACGTCGTACAGTTTATCTCCCTAAGAACCATGTGAGCAATTTAAAATCCTCTAAGCTAGTTATCCTGGATTCAAATATAAAGCAAAAATATCGAGTAGTTTCCAATATGGAGTCCGTTTAAGACTCAACAGTCTTTCAATTCGTGTGGCCAACGAACAAATATTTCAATTAGTTTTATTTATCATTTTTCATAACTTTTTTAATTAGGTGTAGATTTTCTAATATGTCATCAATTATAAAAAATAGATATGCGACCATATACAAAGCTATACTTTTATACTATATACATATGTGTATAGACAGATGTCAAATGGAAGTAAGAAAGCTCATTGTAATAATTTTTTT